TCTTCCTGATCTATCATGTTGCAGAACCTCCTGTATCTCTAGGAATACCACCTGTGTTAATTGTGCACTATCTGTATAAAGATAATCACTCTCTGGTCATTTCTTCTTTCTCCTTTCTTTGCTTCTCCCGCTGAGCCTGTTCCCATAGCTGCTGCAAGCTCAACCTTCTACTCCCCCAAACAAAACCAATAATAGTTATGTAAAATGAACCTCTTAACCATCACCACTGTCTTTTCTTCCTTTGTAGCTGACTCTACTCTGCACTAATAAAAGATTTACCTATGTCTTTAACACCGTCCATACCCTCAACGTGAGATTATAAAGAACAAGGTGATGAAGAGAATAAAAGTAAATTGCACAACCAGTGATAATCTGTCCACATCCTAGGAGCCAGGGTTTGTTGTTGTAACAGCCTCCTCTTATGACTGTTTATACGAACTCTTAAAACTAGAAACCAAGATAGTCAGATCTCAAGATTTGTGTTTCAGGTCTAAAGAGATATAAAGAGATATCCAGCTACACTCTCCTCTATCTATATTGGCGAGGCTGGTGAACAGCAGCTGCTAAGTTAAGATAAAAGATGGAGTTCACGTCCATCACCTGGGCATTTTTATCCTACCAATTATTGAATCTTCATTTTCCTAGAGATCTTGTTCTTCCCATGCTTGGACAAAACTCCCAAATCCACAATATACAGCATTTATCATAGAGGTGGCCCAGACTGTAACTCATAATTTTTTAAGTGCATGGACTCATTTACTGGGAGAAGTTACATACAATCATCTATTCTAAACTTATTCTAAAGACTTATAATTTTATAGAAAACAGATGGAAAAAGTAATCAACAGCCAACGTAAATGCAAGATTATATTTGTGGGGAAAAACTTAATAAAGACCCCATAGACCTTATTAACACGCGCATACACACACACACACACATACACACACACCCTCACAAGCAGGCTTGCTTTAAGCAGTGAATACATGATGGTTGTGTAGTCAATAATTAATGCATTCTCCTAGTTGCCAGATTATAAAGCAACAATGGAAATGCAAGTCATTTAAATCTATAAATGAAAGAATTTTGGGCTTGCTAAAGAAAAATCAGGGGCATAGTATCACCTAGTTACAGAATGATACAATCAGACAGGATTGCATCATCATCTGGTCTCATGACCATGTATCCTGTGGAGAAAGAGGCTAAGTCCCAAAGCAATAGATTTGTGGTGGGTTTTGTGTTGATTATTTTGTAAAACAGCTTCTGGAGATAGAATTCACCGACTGATAGTTCAGCATTGAAACGTGCAACTCCAAGGTCGTTCACAGAGTTTTGTAGTCTCACCAACAACCACACTTAACACACTTCATGACCCCTCAAAAGAATCTTCTTCCAGCAGTCAATCAGCATTTTCCTCCCTGCAATGCCTGTGAGGCACCCTTTCCTTTGTCCTGTCTCTGTGCCACTCCACTCTGGCTGCCACAAATCCCCACAGCCT